TCAGGGGGAGAGCAGGAAAGGAACCCTCTGCAGGAGGCTAAGATGTGGGTAGTAAACAAGGGGCATGTGCTCTATTTATGGTCTTCACAGAAAGCAGGTTTATTCCAGAGAGCAGGCTGGAGGGATGGTTTAGACGGCAAAGCAAAAAGTTAAATTGGAAAGAAGTTGAGGGTGATGAGGCAATTTAAAATAATTTAACCTAGAAAGTCTAAAAATTCACTCTTCTAAATTTATCTATGGGACTCTAGCCTAGGAAAACAATTAGACTAGGGGAGGGTAATGGAAGAACTTTAACTCTTTAGTCTACACACTTCTAAGAAATTCAAAGTTTCTATAATAAGCATGGGTTTTATAGTTTTTAAATAAGAAGATTTACAGTACTAAAAAGGGAAAAATCTACAAACCTCTATACAGAAAATATTCACACTGTATAATAACAAAACACATAAAATGACTTTAATGTCTAGCACTAGGGAAATGAGTAAGAAAACTAGGATATAATTGTATCCTAGGAACTTCTGTAACAAATCAAAGATGTAATGAAATGTATATAATAACATGGAAAAAACGTCATCAGTTTAGTGAGAGGAAAGGCAAAAGTGGAATGTAGGCTATGATTATATTATGTAGAAATATGTATTTTTAAAATCTACTGAAAAATAAACTATACACATCAAAAACCATAACCAGCGTTGTGTTAGCATGCAAAGATTCAGATGGCTCTCTTCTCCACTTTCTAACAGTTCTATAAAAACAGCATGGCTTTGTTGCTGCTTTTATTTTTAACAGAAAAGAAAGATGCATGCCACAAAAGGAAAACAAAAATGATACAATAACAGACAGGCAGTCAGAATGGCAAAGGAGGGCTGGCCAAGCAGCCCCGATGCAGGCTCTGTGTGGACACTACAGAGGCACAGCAAAGTGGTCCAGGCACGCGTGCCAATCCTGGCTCATCAGACTGCTCTGGACCAGTTATCTCACACAAAATGAGTGTCTGGGAATAGACAATCTCTAAAGTGCCTTCCAGGTTTAAAATCGTATGATTCGCGCTAGCCAGTTTGGCTCAGTGGATAGAGTGTCAGCCTGCGGACTAAAGGGTTCTGGGTTCGATTCCAGTTGACACATGCATGGGTTTCAGGCTCAATCCCCAGTAGGGGGCGTGCTGGAGGCAGCCGATCAATGATTCTCTCTCATCACTGATGTATCTATCTCTCTCTTCCTTTCTGACATCAATAAAAGTATGTTTAAAATGAATAACTAAATAAATAATAAATAAAATCCTATGATTCTAAGTTGCAAAAACGAAGGAATCAGAGAACGGACAAGAAAAATTAGGAATTTCTCCAGTTTTCTTACATAATGTAAAATGTAGGTGGGGGAGAGATAACCTACACATTACATTTTAATGCTAACGTCAGACAAAATGCTGTGTAGGTACTATGGACATTAGTGAAATATTACATGCCACCTCCAGTTTTAAAAGATGCTTATAAACTGGAAAGAAAACCCATGGCTGTGAAGTGAAAATAACAATGTAAAACAAAAGCGTTTGGGAAAACCGGGAGGCCACAGTATCAGCTGCCCTATCAGCTCATCCCTTCCCTGGGAGATGGGAAGGGCAGATGTTGGTGTGGGGGTGAAGGGGTTCACAGGCTAAGAGCTATGGAAATCTATGGGGGTGAACAAGACTCGAGTTGGGCTTTTATAGAATGGGGACTGGGTTTCTTGTGGAGTTGATGAAAATGGTCATCAAATGTAAATAAACCAAAATCACTGACATACCATTTTAAAGGGTGAATTTTATGGTATGTAAATTACATATCCCTCCTCCTCCTCCTCCTCTTCCTTCTTTTTTTTTAAATGTGGTCAGAGATAATTAATTAGAACAGTGTAGAAAAACCCAAAGGTACACTGAGGAGAGTAATGAGGAGAAAGGGGGTGGGGGTGCAGGCAGCCTGACTCCTCTCCCTATTGAACATTCGTGTTAGCCTATAGTCTAGTCATTGCCCACTCCTTAATTATCTGGTCTTGCAAGACCTGTTTACCTAAACACTCCATTTTACAAAGGCCATAAACCATGAACAATACACAACCCTGGAGGGGTTATCAATGCTGGCACCAGGCCACGCTTTTAGGTGTGGTCTCACTGCCCCATCCCAACACCTGATCCACATACAGGGGACAGAGAAACAAAAAGATGCAAAGGAAGAGCTTCCTCCATGTTGGTGTACTCAGGATTTGGAGAACTGATCCCTGAGTCACTGTACCAGTACATGTGAAACATCTGGAAATAAATGGCTTTTTCCTGTATCTCCGGGTACTCCTGCGTATTTTTCGGTCGCCTGGTAAATTCTGTAACATTAGGGAAAGGTAATAGAAATGATCATCCATGAGACAGGAAGGGAAGCAAAGATTGATGGACCACTAGGTGAAAGATCCAGGCTTTGAGAATTATGTGCTTCCTCTGCTGGAAAAACAAGCCTCCAGTAAGCAGGGCCAGGTCCTTTTAGTCTGCTATGTGCCTGAGGGTCTCAGATACACTCATGCACTCATACCTGAGTGTGTGAGGGAATGAGCCTTTGACGGTTACTCTGGGTCTTGTGTGAAAAGAAGAATAAAGACTGGATAACTGTAAGTTTAACAAAATAAAAATTAGTGTAGGCCTGAACAATGTGTCTGCATATCAGGAACACTGGCACATAGGATTGAAAGATGGAAAGAAGCAAGAGACTTTCCAAGAGTCTTTGCTATCAATTATATGAAATATATTTATTAGGTTTACATGCAAAAATGTTACATAAACTCTAGCTATACAAACTAAATTCTACTTGTGTAAAAAGAGAGAGGGAAAAGAAGGGGGAAAATATAAGCAAGATAAGCAGAAGAGAAAGAAATGATGAGGTGGACACTGTCTCTTTAAGAAGCTCCTTGGAGATACATAACTGTAGAAAGCCTGGTGAATACAACATTGATTGGGAATGAGGTAACCACAAACACCGCTGTCTCAAATGAAAAGGGATTCAAGACCTGACCCAGAAAACAAGCATCGTAACCACCAGATAAAATTTTAATGATAAACACAAGATGCTCTACACACAAGCAAGATATGAAGTATCTGATGCGAGGCCATAAACGTAAGGCTCTCTTAGAAAGAGGAGCTGTGAGGAGCCTCTCTGACCCACAGATCAAGTTTCATCTTATTGATCCACAAACTCTGCCATCGCTTTGCTTTGTGCTGTAGAATCGGCAATGTTGAGGGGCCTCCAGGGAACACAGAGGCAGGAAAAAGGACTGGCACCGGCCGGCCTTTGTGAGGTCCATGTCCAGATAAGAAATGCACAATTGGCTTTTGAAATTAAAGTCCCCTTTATTTCTAATTTCTTTTATGACTCTCTCAGTCCAATCTCCACATGCTGTCCTCAAAGGTCTCTGATACTAGGAGACCCCTTCAAGCGAGAAGGACAGAAGTCCCCTTTGAGTTAACACGGGACCTAGAATTGGTGGGGGGAAAGAACCTTCTATATCAGGAGCTGTTGGGCCCACCCTTGAGCAGTGGGGGCAGAAGTCCAAAGCCGCACTGGATGAAGTCTGGACTCCTGATCTGTTAATCTTTCTAGAATAATCCTATATAATAAAAGGGTAAATATGCAAATTGACCCTAATGGTGGAATGACCAGAACGACCACTGGACTAGTCACTATGAGGCACACTGACCACCTTTCCCCAGCTGGCTGGCTCCGATCGCCCGATGGCAAATGGGGAACCGGGAGTGGGGGAGAAAGGGGAGGGCAGGGCCCGCTGTGGGCAGCCGGGGAAGATGGCCCTGACTGGAGGCCAGGCCTAGGGACCATACCGTGCATGAATTTCGTGCACAGGGCCTCAAGTAGTACTACAGTGCTCTGAGGAAGTCTACTGACCTCTGAATTGTGGCCAGAAAAACAAAAGCTAAAGAAAAGTGTTCCTCTACGCTGGACACCTGAACTAATACAAATCACACTGGATGTAAACTGTAATGGGGGAAAAATGTTTTTAATTGCACTTACAAAAAAATTAAAATAAAATGAAACAAAACTAAAAAACAAAATAAGGGTTCTCCATAGGTGTATCTTGTTTAAAGCAAAAAGTCTTTTTCATAGGCATTGCATGCCACAAAATATTAAAATAATCTGACTGCAATTTCAATTCAAATGGTGCTCTTTAAGGAATGCTTCTTAAGGAGAGATTTTTCTTAAAAGAAAAACTTGACTACTACCAAGTTGTCAAGGCCAAGGTTTGTTTTTGTTTTCTGGCAGGTAGGCGCCTCTCTTGGGTGGCTCATGCCTAAGCCAATGCAGACTGAGAAATTTCAATGCCCTGGTTTCTATAGCACTAAGTATACAATGTGAGAATCTAGTTCAAAATATCCTCATCCGAAAAAGAAAAGTGACCTTCTCATTATACATCAACGAAATACATAAACACATCTCTGTAGTAAAATATGAAGAATTCATGAAAGTGGTTTTTAGAACAGAAGCCAAAGGAATCTACAGAAGCTAAAATTAAATTTCTTGGCCACGGAGACAAATAAGAAGCAAACAGGCGCTGTGTGGTGGGAAGGGAGGCTGTGTGTGGCCACAGCCCTTCCTCAGTAATAAAAGCTTCAGAACAAGAGCACAAGAGCAGGACCTCTTTGTGCCAACACGTATTATTCTTGCTTGACTTTTTTATGTCTTCATAAAATACAAACTGTTTGCCTTAATGAAAATCTAACATAACATGCCACAAGAGTGGTTTTAAAGCTAGGAGAGACATATTGAGACAGATCTGCTCTGCACCATTCGCTTCTCACCATTGACTTCAGAGTTCTCCAATCCCGGAGAAGGGAGTCCTCCAAACATGAGCCATCTATACGAAAGCATGTGCTCCCCAGGGAAGACAATGTCACTGGGACTTGGAGGGGGTACATGAAAACCTAAAAGACCTTAAGATACAGTGTTAAGTGAAAAATTGTCCTAGCTTACCCAGCAATGACCACACCGTCATGAGAGTGCACGTCACATAAAACAGCATCAGGAATGTGTTCCAGCTCACTCACGGCTCCCTTGCGATTCTGTGTAAGGAAAAGGGTGTGCAGGGTTCGTTATTCTGTGGATAACAGACACAAAGCATGTCCCTTTCACCTACGCTCCCCCGTGAATTTTTACAGCATGTACTGTGTTCACAGTTATCTGGACATTCAAAAAGACCAAGATGACAGCCAGTACGTTAAGCTGTTAGCATTTACAACACACATACACACACACACACACACACACACACACACACACACACATGTGCACACTCGCACGCATACACACAAAATAGACGGGGTATGGGATGTCGCCCCATTTTCCTCAAGGGGATATGAAGGAAATATGTGATCACAAATAACTATAATCCACAAAAGGCTGAATGTGGCAAATCTCAAGAAATTATATAAAGCGTGTTAAAAAGTTCTGTTCAGTGGAAAGTATTTAAGGATATTTTACTTGTTAAAAACACTTATAAACAACCTGCTTAATAAAATGAAAAAGTATGCATAAAGAGAATAAATCAGGATGGGGAAAAGGAAAAAAGACATTGTTCCTGATTGAGAGGTCAGCAGTTCATGGGAACAGTATTTAAAGGAATCCTTTGGACACACAACACTGGCTGCTCTAAGGAAGGAAGCAGGTGGTAGGTGAAGAAAGGTGTCTCTTTCACTGTATACCCCTTTCTGACTTAAATTATTTGTTCCAGGGCCATCATTATCAACCCAAATATACACATAATTATTTTTAAAATAAAAATAAAGGGGATTTAAAGGAATATAAAGTACTTACATGTGAGATGTTGGGAAGAGTAGAATAGTTAAGCCAAAAGTAAGCATGAATAAAATTATTCAAGAGCATTCAAGTAACCATAATTTCAGCTTTGCTGGACTGGACCAAGGATAGAAATGGTGTGTATAAGTGCTAAGCACAGTTGTTAGCATACAGCAAATGTTCAATAAATGGTAGCTCTTACTATTACTCATATTATTAGGAGACAGCTGATGACATTCATTTCATTAAAAACATTTAAATGGCTATATTCCAGGCACTGTGTAAGATAACTTGCAGATGATGTCCTTTAAAGACCAAGTCCAAGGCTGAGCAACAAAACTCACACATCCAAGTAGAGCTGTCCTGCTAGTGGACGCAAGGGGATGGGAGGGAAGGACCTGAGTTCCATCTGTGTGGGGACCATGAGCAGAACCATAAGAACAGCACAGCTCTTCTGAGGATGAGGTAGTGAGAGAAAAGGAGAGGGCTGTGTGCTGACGGCATGGACCTGCGTCCACCCCACGGGCTGCAACCTCACTGGTATCCTGGTCTTAGAGAAACCCTAGAGGCCCGAGAGAGAAGAATTACTGCAAAAACCAGAAGAGGAATACTACAGCCACCATAACCAGCTTATCAAATCATTTCCACGACGGCTCTCAATTGCACATCCATGTAAGTTCATGCAGTTACTATGTATAATAGAAATATCTGAGAACCTTGGGATCCGTTCTCAGGTTCCCCACGCACTGACCTAGGAGAAACCAAATCAAATCACCTGCTCAACCCATCTTGGAGTCAACCAAGAATAGCGCCAAAGCACAGGATCTCCGTGCAAAGGTCTGCGAGCTTCTCCAGCCAATGCTGGATGTGAGCCACTGGGTGTGAGCCACGCTCTGCAGGAACGTTGCATACATCATTAGACAGTCCTTCTCCCACATCCTACGAGCAGGACTACTCCAAGCCCTACTTTAAAGAAAACAGAGGCACACAGAGGTAAAGCAACTTGTTCTAACACTACTTTTCATGTTTTGATAGGGCTTTCTTTCATTCTAGAATCACAATGAGAATCCCATCACTACAGCGAATATTTATCATTTGATATTTCACTCGTGTAGTCCTCACTGGTGCTATTGTCAGAAAAATGGGTCCAAGACACTCCAAAGAGAAGCCTCCCTCACATGCTGCCTGCAGTTAAGAATCCAGTTCATCCAAACGACAACCATTTACTGAGCACTGACCAAATAGAGGGCTTTGTGCTCGGACGAGAAAAACAATAGTGACGCTCAGTTAAGCTGCATGGAACTTGTGTACTGTTACTGAGTGCCAGGTGCTATGAGGTGGATTTTTACTAGTAGATCTTCACTTCTGCCCCCTCTGGCCTGAATGGGAAGCTATACCTGCCTCTCCTCTTGCTTTTTCCAATACCAACAAGGAAATGAAGAACATGGCTGCTGCTTTCTCTCTCAGGGGCTGACACCTCTAAATGGGGGCCAGGCACATTGAGTAGCTGCAGCTCTCACACTCACACATCTCAAAAGTTTCCCTTCTGCCCAGACAGAGAGGTCCTAGTCAATGCCCAGCTCTCAAGCTTTCGTTAAATTACAGCGCCTCCTACCAGCGGTAGACCCTCTACTTTCTGCCCGCACAAACCCCGATGCCTGTCTCAGCAGCTCTGTCTCTCATGCATGTCTCTCACAGACCTCACTCAAGCACACAGGCAGGAGGACTGCGGGTCCCTCCACATGAGTTTATCCTCTGGTGAGGAAGCAGACCGCGGGCCAGTATGGTTCTGGTTGAGTAGCGGTGTCTTCGTGGCCTGAGAAAGGACAGCTATGCTAACTCTCCTGAGAGAGGCGGTTCTCAACCAGGAGCGGTTTTGCCTCCTGGGGACATGTGAAGATATCTGAAGACATTTTTGGCTGTCACAGCTGGGGAGAAAGAGAAATGCTACTGGGCATCTACCAGGTAGAGACTACAGGTGCTGGTCAACATCCTACAGCGACAAGACAGCCCTCACCACAAGAACCATCCAGCCCAGTGTCACCAGTGCTGGATGGAGAAGCCCTGACTCAGAGAACCACTGCTCTTATTCACTTGGCTAGAAACTGTATGAGGCTGCCCAGATCAAGAGCATCGGTCACTAATCAGGTTATGAGGTGACTGGGGACAGGCATGCACACAGGCAATATGTCACCATCAGTAATGAGCAAAGGCTTGTTAATCTCAGAGTCCATTAAGACTGACCTTTAAGGGAGAGGAAGGGGCATGGTTCTGTCCCCTCCACATGACCAACTTCCCAGCTACCCAGGTGGGAAGAGACAACCATCACATGGCTGTCTCGTCGTGCCGCAAGCAGCTTTGAGCAACACTGCTCTTAACAGTTATTCCTCAGAAACGCTTCCCTCTGAACATTCTGAGCTGTGATCTAATATTTCTGCAGAGATTCTGAAGTGATAAATGTGATGGAAGTGAGCCAGTAGGTTATGTGAGGGAAGAGAAGACAGTGCTTAGAGACGTTGAATAATCTCCTCTTACATTTCCTGGAAATAGCTCCTCTTTTGTATTCAGGTGCTGCCTTTGCCTTCTTGGTCCTTCCAGAGAGATGGGGAACGTGGAGGGGGCTGCACTGAGCATTACATCCAGCACCCTACCCGGCTCTCTCTCACCCTTCCAGTCCTGGAAACAGGATGCTCCCAAACAGTGTGGCTGGAAATGGGGGCAGAGATTCTAGTGGCGAATAAGATGGGCAACAAGTCACCAATAGCAGAAGATGCGTTCACCATCATTCTCTCTCTGCTTTTGGCAGTTAACGCAGGCTGTAATTAGAAGGACTTGGTGATTAATCCCGGGCTTGGGTTCCCAGTCCTTGTTAGCTATTCTTCTACAGGTAATATTGGCCACCGCCTACCTTCCAGTTGGTTCTTAACATGTGCTCCTTGGCTCGGCACTCCTTGAAGATGAGCTTCCAGCAAGAATAATCGGAGATGCTGCTCTCGGGAAGGTGCCCTTCCTGCTGGCACAGCCGGTACCAGAGCACTTCATCCTCTGCAATCACCTTCCACGTCTTGCTCACCTAAAGCAGCAGAAGTGACACAAATGTCAAACCCTGCAATTAGCGAAGCCCTTTGTCATCCAAAAATCAATCAACACCTTTATTATTGCCCTGGGTTTATGGCAGTATAAAATGTCTCATTAACAAAACACTCCGAGGTGGAAAAAAAAACCAACAACACAAAAAAACAAGCAAATGTTTCCAGTTTTATCTTTCAAGATTTCAGAATTGTATTATCACCCAATATCACATTTTAGACTGCCTAAAGTATTATATAAGAGGAAAAATACATAAAAGACAAAAACTACACGCTGTTACCATGTTAATAGATGTACAACCACACACAGTTTTTCAGAACAGAATCGCTTTATTTTTTACCAATAGGCACTTGTATTTCCGCCTAATAGAGCCGGAGACTGATGGCCTCTGAAGTGTAAGCAGTAATAAAATAAATATCCATAACTCCAAACTTCTGCTCCTCTGAGAATTTCAAATTTATGTTATGTGTGAAAACTTAGATTTTAAATGTGTACCTTAAAAAATGTTTAACAGAAAACTCAAGCTGTTAACCAGGACTGTACGATCTGATAGAGAGAAATTAATGTTATGTCTGGACTGAATTTCAAATCCCAACAGTGTCCAGAGGAAATGGCCGTTTTAGCTATTAGTGCTCTGCCTTCCAACCCCAACTGAGGGGAACGATGAATTTATTTCACCCCCAGATAATGCACGAAGCAGGGCCAGGCTGCAAAAGGTGAACTCCACTGGCAAGTTGAGAAACAGATCCAGTGGCTAACGTGATCCTGGGTCTGCTAGACATCCTGCTTACAGCCCATCTCACTCACTTCTAGTGAAGTAAGAGCTGTGACCAGTGGTTTACAGTAACCTGTGCTCCCTACCACTCCCGTGGGGCCATTTCAAGACATCAAATCCCCAGACAAGAGGAAAGGACATGAGACAGAATGAGGGAGCACGCAGGCCGGGCATGGCACCCACACTGCGCAAGGAGGCCTCGCTCAGTAAAGAAATGGTAGGGAGTTAACTATTGGAATTGCAGAATAAAGATTTCCGAAAATCTGCTCCTCCGTAAAAGCAAGAAAAATGGTGCCAAAAAGTGTCAAAATCAAGTTTTTCATTACTCTGGAAATTAACTGAAGGCTTGCAACATTTTGAGGAGCATTTATTCAGGAAAATGGCTGGATGTTGGTAAGAAGCGTAACTTCTGTTTTGTTTTACTTTATGCTAATCTCATCCTCCTCCTTCAGCTCCATGGTAGCGTTGAAAACTAACAGCCTTGCAAATAGAGTAGCTGTAAAAACCAGCAGCTTTGCAGCCACTGGAAGGGCCAGATGGAGTTATAGGTCCTCAAAGGTGCCACCCCCCAGAGAACTGTCACCATCTGACCTTGGCAGCTAGCTTAAAGCTCTATTCTGAAGGACTGCCTTTTTCCAACCTGACTCAGAGCACTCTATCCTATCTCCAGGGCATTTGTCAAAAACAGTACGGGACAACTGTTGAACACTGTAGCTGCCTAAGGCAGAATTAACACGGATCACTTACAAACTCTTCTGAAAAAAAAAAATAGAAGTAACAGTTCCCAACTTATTCTAGGAGGCCAGTATTCCCTGATACCAAAACCAGACAAACACATCACAAGAAATCTATAAACCAATATTCCTTATGAATATACACAAAAATCTTCAAAAAATACTAGCAAACTGAATCTAACAACATATGAAAAGGACGGTATGCCATGACTACATGGAATCTCTCCCAGCATGCAAGGTTGGTTTAACACATAAAAATCAATGCAATATATCATACTACTAGAATAAAAGACATAAGCCACATGAAATTCTCATAAATTTTTCTTTAAAACTATAAAAATTTAAAAACCAGTAAGGGAATTCTTTACATCCAAAATGAATCTGCACTGCACCAAAAAAATTCATAGCATGGCAAAGTTCCTTTACATAATAACTTCCCCAAGGAGACATAAAGTGATAGGGATATATATGTACATATTTTTGATAACATTTTCAGAAACATGTTTTGATTCTTGCCTCCATTATCCAAGAAGCAGCATGATATAATAGGAAACTAGTTACAATTAGGGAGGGAAACCCAGATTCTAGTGCCAGGTCTTTCACTAACTAGCTGTGCAATGAGAAAGTTACTAGTCTTTCCTGTACCTCTTTTCTCCGCTGTGAAACAGAGGGGGGGGGGGGTATCATACCCTAAAATGCCCCTTACAGCACTAAATTCTATGACTAAGGACCTTCATTTCCTCATCTTTAAAATGTGAATAATCATACACCATCACCAACAGAACTGTTGTGGATCTCAATAAAAGAGCTCACAGAAAAGTACTCTATAAATGTAATTCTTTCTACATACGATGTATACTAGATCATGACCTAGAGCACTTCAGGTCCCACAAAAATACCTTATTATGAAACTGTGCTGCTCCAAATATTACTTTAAATAGGGAAGCCATTAGCTTCTTCGTATTTTTAGTAAAGAACTTTCATTAGATCTATAGGAGTTTCTACTTGCTCCGTGGCAGCAAAAGCTAAAACTTACAAAGTGAAAGTTAATCAGAAACCAAGAACTCAGTTTGTCTGTCTCAAAATTTCTGATTTTCCATCACAAGCAAACTACATTAAAAAGAATCAATATTACAATACCTTATTCAACAAAAAGTACGTCAGAGCAATATTGATCAACAGGGCACTCTTAATTTTATATTTTGTTCATTCAGTTCTGGCTTTCTTAATTACGTTTCTGCAGTACATGAGAGCATGCAAGTTCTAGGTGTGATGGTCACATCACGTAAGTCACCTTCTCTGTAGGTGTGGACATTGTGCGTGCAATTTGCAGAATCAGATGTTAGACCAGGTAGCATAAAGAAGTGCAAAGCTTCTGTCATTTTTCTCAACCAAAGAGTCACACTATAATGCTGAAGGTGTCACACTGGCTCAAGTCTTCAATGGTTTAGAAGCTGAAAAAGTACCAGGAGTCTTAGAGATCAACTAGGCACATCTCCCCATCACAGGAAGGCTCCTCACAGCACCCCTAGCCAGCAGAAGGCTTTTGGTGAAGAGCTGACCTCCCCAATCAGTCTGATTCACTGCATGGCAACTCTATTAAAAAGTACTTCCTTCCATGAAAGAAAGGTAGAGGGAGAAATAAGATAGAAATATCAATGATGAGAGAGAATCACTGACTGGCTGCCTCCTGCACACCCCCACTTAGGGATTGAGCCCACAATCTGGCCATGTGCCCTTGACCAGAATCGAACAGGGGACCCTTCAATCCAAATCCACAGGCCAAAGCTCTATCCATCAAGCCAAACTGGCTAGGGCCTTCAGAGTCTTTTAAAACACCAATTGTAGTTAAAGAAAAATGTCCACATGTCTTACTTCCACGATATTTATTTTATTTTGTTAATCCTCACCTGAAGATATTTTTCCAGTGACTTTTAGAGAAAGTAGAAGGGGAGGGGAAAGACAGAGAGAAACATTGATGTGAGAGACACACATTGACTAGTTGTCTCCCATACGCACCCTGACTGGGGCTGAGATTGAGCTAGCAACCCAGGTTCATGCCTTGACCAGAATCAAATCTGGAACTCATCAGTCCACAGGCTGACACTCTATCCACTGAGTCAAATAGGCTAGAATTCCACAATATTTTTAAAATGTAAATTATTAGCCGAAACCGGTTTGACTCAGTGGTAGAGCGTCAGTCTGCGGACTGAAAGGTCCCAGGTTCGATTCCGGTCAGGGGCATGTACATTGGTTGCGGGCACATCCCCGGTAGGGGGTGTGCAAGAGGCAGCTGGTCGGTGTTTCTCTCATCGACGTTTCTAGCTCTCTATCTCTCTCCCTTCCTCTCTGTAAAAAAATCAATAAAAATATATTTTAAAAAAATAAAAAATAAAATGTAAATTATTCGTTTAATAAACTTTCTATCCATTTTAAATCTCAGCTTATTGCATACAACCCCCCCACCCAGCATTTCTATCATCTTTGCATCTCAATTCTGTCATCCTTTGCATTAGCTACTTCTCCCATACATAGATCATCTGCAAAAGACGGTCTGTGGGACTTCATGTCTTAATTATTTAAAAAAAGTTAACCAGGATGGGACTGAGGACAGAGCCTGTGGCAAACCACTGTAGCACTCCCCCCAGGCAGACATGGATCCATTAATCAGCCACCCTGGGTCTGGCCCCAGCATCAGTTACAAATCCACTCAAACACATTGTCATCCCACACTTCTCCATCCTCGCCATAACGGCGTCAGGGAAACAAACCCTCATCTGATCACAAGTGATCAGGCAATGAAGAGCAGGATAATAACTCAATAACACTGGAGCTCCAGTTTTCACTAGACAGACCACCACGGTTTTATTTTTGGCATGTTTGGTCCACAGCTGAGCCTGTCCATGACACTGGGTGGTGTCTGTCCATCTGTCTGTGCCAGAGTGAGTCTCGGCACTGGCAATCACGAAGCGCAGAGACAAACCAACATCAGCTGTCTGTGATGGAGCCGGGCCACTTCTCAGAGAGCTGCAGAGCAGAATCCTTCCCAACAGACCCCTGGAATTCAGGGTTCAATACGTATAAAGGCCAACATTCAGAGACCCTCATGGGTTCTCAACGGCAGACTGTGCTAACTAACCACAGGGCAGTTCATTCTCATCCTTGGAATACATAAGCCTGTTTTGTAAAAATTACAAAATATAAAATTAAGTAAGTTATGAAATGTAACTATTGGACAAAAGATTCAGAGTTGCTAAGAGATCGCATAAATGTCAGTCATGATTTCATTACACAGACCGGCATTTTCCAAAGCACGCTCAGCACAGCAGCAGCTCCTCGAGTGTTAATATGTTACTTTCATACACAGACATGTGTTACATATCTCTAAGGAGACGGAAGAAGCTGCAGTCCCCAAACTTACTCGGTTCCTGAACACTTCTTATAAGGAGTGTTTCAGAAGCCTAGAGCTCCTTA